TTATAGGATGTTTTTTTTAGTTAATATTTTGGATATATTGCACTTTGTTTGAATGAATATTTTGGACCGGTTGTGTATAGATTAATATTTTTACAAAATTAAGTTTTGTAGTAGTTTTTATGCATGTTATATTGTTTCTTATAATTTTAATGTTAAATAAATAAATAAATAAAATATATTTTAGGGGGCGCCTTTAGTGATAATACATAAGTATTAGCGGCAACCGATAACATTAGCGGCGACAAGTTAAGCATTTGCAACGAGACAATAGTGGCGACCTTTTTGCAGCAACAGGTCACCGCTAATAGCTTTAGCGGCGACATGCACACTCTTTTGAGGAGACGCATGTTGTCGCTAATAATCATGTTTCTTGCAATTTCTAAAATTAACCTTGCTCAAATCTTATAGTGAGGTTTTTGAGTTGTTTTTCAAAAATTCTTTTATCTTCAATTTCTTAACCATTTACTATCATTTGGTTTGTTATATAAGGATCATTTGGTTAGAGAATTATTCTAATGATTCCTAATATCTTATTCTTAAGTTATCAAACTAGCATCTTAGTTTTTGCAATCTTAATAGGTTATCACCTTTTCATCGTGTTTGTAACTCTTATGCAATGTATCCCACGCATCCTTTTGTTTTCAAGGATTTCAGAGGTTTGTGGTGAAGTTAGGTCCTTTTCATTTGCTGGTTTGTTCAATCCATTTCAACAAAACTTTATAGGTCTGATGACTCTGTACCCACATTTGGATGCTCCAATGGTTATAATTTCTTCCATTTAACTTACTTGGTGAAGCCATATATAGTTTGTCTATATTGTGGTAAGAAGGCAAAAACGTGTGAAACATAATTGATGATCTTAGGGGCTGTTTGATAGTTGTTGACTGAGTCAGGCACTGACTGGTCTAAAGGTCTGTCTGCATCTGTCTCTGACTGAAATCATCTTGTTTGATTATGGATCTGACTGGCTGTGCTGACTGATAAAAATTACCATTTTACCCTTTTTTTGTTTTCTGTTGGATAAACTGTATTATTTTCTATAAGATATTTAAATAAAATTGCTGACTGATTATAAAAAAGTAGAAAATGTCATAAAAAAAATCAAATTAAACAGATTTCATTGAAATTACAAATAGAAAGATCCTAAAATTGAAACAAACCAAAATTTTTTGCATAAAAACTTAACTTGAACCATTTGAAAACAGTTGATTTGCAATATGGTTACGCAAAGTACTTATATATTCAACTCCTCCCGAACCCCATTATATGCCCTCATTTCCTCCATCTTTCGTATTAGGAGTAACCACATTGTTCTCTTCAAAGCATGTAAATAAGTCATCTTGAATATTATATTTCCTTATAAAATTATGTACTACGATACAAGCAATGACTATGTCTCGTTGAACTGGAAACAGATAAGGAGCCATTAGTTTTAAGATTGGGAATCTTGCCTTCAATACACCATAAGTTCGCTCTATAACATTTCTGAGTTGTGCATGAGCATGATTAAATCTTTCTTCCTTAGTTAACGCCTTTCATCGTCGAAAATCGGTAAGTGCACTCTATAACATTTCTGAGTTGTGCATGAGCATGATTAAATCTTTCTTCCTTAGTTAACGCCTTTCGTCGTCGAAAATCGGTTAACCAATACCTTGTATTGCGATATGGAGTCATAAATCCACGAGTATTGGTATATGCAGCGTCACAAAGGTAATATTTATCAGTAAAGGTGAGCGTGATGCATATTATATAAACAATATAGATAATAATAAAAGGTATAGAAAGAATATAAACATGGTGGAGGAAATGGAAATCTAGAAGTCGGATTAAATGCAATTTCTTTCAAAACTCGTGAATCATGTGCTATGCCCTTCCATCCAGCCCATACAAAGGTGAATATCATATCGAAATCACAAATTCCCAATACATTTTGATAACACTCATCTTTTCCTCTTCCCCTATAATGAGTTTGTTGATCAGCGCGCACAACTGCATGTACAAGAGTACTATCTAACGCACATATTGCTCTGGGAAATATAGCTTTTAGCCTTTTATGGTGTTCCGAGGTATTTGTAGTCGCACTAGAAGTTATCGGCACTATAATTTCTTTAGCAAAAGAGATCATTGCAATATAGACCTCATGAAAACATTTATGAATTGTTTGTGTGGAGTGTTGAAATCTTCTTTTAACCACTCAGAAGCGTTGATTATGTGCTATAACATGTAAACATATATCTATCTTTTCTTCAATGCTTAATGTCTTACTAGCTTGCAACCAGTTTTTTGAGTAAAATGATTGCATAGTAGTACAAAGGCCTCGCGTGAAAGACGCATCATATCATGACATTGTGTAGAAGTTCCGTGTAGCAATTCTTGAGTATATTCATGCCCGCTTTTATCTGAATCATTATCTTTTATTCTTTCAATATATCTTTGCCTTCGTCGAGCTGACATCAACCAATACCATGATAATAAAAAGAAAGCTAAAATTTCACCATCCATATCCATATGTAACCTGTAAATTATAAATTAAAAACATTTATTTCCACAATATAAAATTTAAAATTCATCCAAATCATAACATAACATAACATTTAAATCCATAACATAAAATTAAAAGTCATCCAAAAGATTGTAAATGCCATACAAAATCATCCAAAAACACTACAAGAAATAAGAGTATTACCAGCGACAGGCGTCGCCGCGAAAGGTCCAACATGTCGTTGCTAAAGGTATTAGCGGCGACATGTCGCCGCTAAAGGGTCGTCGTTGTTGGCTCGTCACTGATGCTCCATTGGTCGTTGCTGATGCTCCATACGTCGCCGCTAAAGTTGCGTCGCCGCTAATGCTCTCCGTCGCCACTAAAGGCATCACTGCTATTACTATTTATTTCTATTCATACAAATACACATATACATACATAATACACATACAAAATTCACATATACATATGAAAATACATACATATATAATACACTTTTACATACGAAAATACATGCACATACATAATACACATACACATACATAAATATACATATATACATAGGATTGTACATACAAAAACACATATACATACATAATGTAGCACTTGGTTCTTGGTACGTATTCCCTTCTTTTAAATATTTTGCATTTTGGCCTTGGACTCGGCGAGTTGAAGCACCAACTCGCCGAGTAGAAGCGGGATGAGACGCGGAGTTTAAGCTGTGGACTCGACGAGTCGGGTCCCAGACTCGGCAAGTAGGACCTATCTGGACAAAAACCCTAATCTGAGGGTTTGCACCCTATTTAAACACCTTAACTCGGCCTCCTTCGTCCCATTTGCTCCCAGAAAACCCCCATAGCAAACCCTAGCCGTTATTGAAGCAATCTAAGGCATTTGGAGTGATTTTGGTGCTTTTGTGATCCAAGGAAGGAAGGAAAAGCTTGAAGGATCAAGAGGAGGCTAGAGGGATCCAACTTTGAGCATCATTTGCAGTCTACAGAAGGTATAAAGTCTATACCTTGTTTGCTCTTTTGATAGATCCCATTTTGTGGAGTTTTAGGGCTTTTTCTAAGCCATTTTGGTCACCAACCATGATTGCAAGCATGGTTTGGGGTTGATGTTTCGGATCTGGTTCCTTAGAGGGGTTACAAGGCAGAAAGGAGTGGTTTTGCACTCAAAGAGGGCCCCATGCATTGTAAGAGCTTGTTTTAGGACCTATTGAGCTCAAAGTCCCATGCAAGCACGTAAAGGTTGTAACTTTACGTGCTAGATCGATTGTAGAAGCATAGATCTATCTTTTGATCAAGGGTTGCACATCAGAAATCAAAGATTTAGTGAGTGGATGTGACTAACTCGATGAGTCCATTCTTGGACTCGGCGAGTCCAAGGTTTCTGTCCCGTATCAGTTGAGGGTCAAAAGGACCCAGTGAGTGAGGAAACGTTTTAGGGAGGGTCCCGGGGAGTGACCCAGCGATCTAGACTAAGCCTTTGTTCTGGAAGTTCATGGGACTCGGCGAGTGCATGAAAGGACTCGGCGAGTCCAAGGTAATCTTCTAAGGATGAAGATGAACTCAATGAGTTGTTCATACAACTCGGCGAGTCAAGGACAAGACCTGTGTACCAGTTGATGATGAACTCGATGAGTTGTTCTTACAAATCGGCGAGTCGGATGAGGATTCAGTCGA